AGTCAGTTGTAAGTCTTTTTTTCAGTCTATCCAATTCTTCATTGTCATTACCTGTCAAGACTATATCATCTACATAGACAATTAACACTGCAACCTTACCTTTTCTATTGTGTTTGTAGAACATGGTATGGTCAGCTTGGCTCTAACAGTAGCCACAATTCTTCATAGCTCTCCCAAATCTCTCAAACCAAGCTCTGGGGGACTGTTTGAGACCATATAAAGATTTCTTCATTCTACAGACTTTATTAGGTCCCAATTTTCCCTCAAACCCAGGTGGTAGATTCATAAAGACCTCCTCCTCAAGATCTACATTTTAAAAGGCATTTTTTTTTACATCTAACTGGTGTAATGGCCTGCTAAAATTCACAGCCAAAGATAACAAAATTCTGATTGAGTTTATCTTGGCTACAGGAGCAAAAGTTTCTTGATAATCAATTCCATAGGTCTGGGTAAACCCTTTTGCTACTAGCCTTGCCTTGTACCTCTCTATGCTACCATCAGCTTTACATTTTATCGTAAAGACTCACTTGCAGCCTACTGTTCTTTTCTCCTTAGGTAAATCAACTATCTCCCAAGTACCACTTCTTATAAGAGCATTCATCTCTTCCATCGCTGCTAACTTCCAATTCGGATCATCAAGAGCTTCCTGAATGTTTCTCGGGACAAACAAGTGTGAGATTTTTGAGGCAAAAGCCCTATGAGTATGAGAGAGTTTGTCATAAGAAAGGTATTTGGCAATGGGATATTTTAGATTTGGATATTTGATTCGAATACCTTTCCTAACAGCTATAGGAATATCAAGGTCTGATGGTTCTTGAGTAGGAGAAACAATAGGAACTGAAGATGAGTTAGGATCAGAATTACCTATGATATCTGGAAGTCCAGTTCCCGGAGATTGAGATTGATCAATTCCAAGAGGAATAGGCTAACTTTGACTCTTTTGATGAAGTATTCTCCGAGTATAAACCAGAGGCTCAATATTGGGAACTTTTGTGCCCGGTTGTAGTGATTCTTCCCCTGTTTCAGATACAATAATGTTTGGCACTATATGACTAGGATTCTTTTCATTGTTTTTATTGGTTTTATCACATTGTTCTTGACTTTGAATTTTGAGAATAACAGTAGGATGAGGTGAAGGAGTCAAAATCACATTTGGTAAAGGAGTAGGAGATAAATCCCAAAAATTTTCTTCCATCATCTCATTCTCCCCCTAAAGAGAATTTTTAAGAAAGTAGGATTTATTTTCAAAGAAAGAGACATCCATACTTATATAAAATTTTCTTGTTTGGGGATTATAGCACTTATATCCGTTTTGATTAGAAGCATACCCTATGAAAACACATTTTTCAGCTCGAGGATCAAGTTTGGACTGAGTATTAGTGAGTATATGAACAAAAGCTATGCAGCCAAAAACCTTTAGAGGTAAATCCGAGTATATCCTTGATAATGGAAAAGTTCTTTTGAAACATTCTAATGGCGTGCTATATTTTAAAACACGTGAAGACATTCTATTAATCAAATATGAAGCTGTTAAAACAGTTGCCCCCCAAAGATATTTTGGAACATTCATTGAAAACATTATAGCACGAGCCACTTCAAGTAAATGTTTATTTTTTCTTTTAGCAATTCCATTTTGTTGAGGGGTATCCACACACGTAGACCGATGATGAATACCCTTTTTCTTTAAAAAAAACTCCCCAAAATTTCATTAAAATACTCGGTTCCATTATTGGTGTGAAAAATGCTAATTTTTGCTTGAAACTGAGTTTCAACCATTGTGTAAAAATCCTTAAAATTTTTTCTAACCTCAGACTTTTCATTCATCAAATAAACCTAACATAAACGGGTATGATCATCTATAAAAGTAACAAACCATTTTTTCCTAGAGATAGTAGTAACTCTTGAAGGTCCCCAAACATCACTATGTATTAAATAAAATGGTTTTGAAGAAGTATAAGGTTTTGGCAAATAAGTAGTACGATGAATCTTAGATAAGCAACAACTTTCACAATAGAACGATGAACAATCCAAACCTTTAAATAAAGTAGGAAACAAATGTTTAAGTTATGGAAAGTTAGGATGTCTTAGTCTTAAATGCCAAAACATTATTTATTGCAGAAGTCGCACCAAACCCGTGGCTTTTCTTCAAGTTTTCGCTGAAAATTGACTGCTTTATTAGCAGCAGTCTCGGTAACAATAAGGGCTGAACTTTCAACAGGTCCGGTGGTAGTCTTCTTCCCCAACATTACATGTCTGCGGCTTTCTTCTCTTCGAACCTCAGCAAACACTTCACCAATTGGAGAAAGTGGAGTCCTGCCAATGATCCGTCCTCGTACTTCATCAAATTCCACGTTTAGCCCAGCAAGAAATTTGTAAATACGATGAGCCTCCACGGTCCGTTTGTAGTGATTGGCATCTTCAGTGGATTTCCATTCATAATCATTGAAAAGACCCATATCCTGCTAAATGCGCTTCAATGAATTGAAATACTTGGTGATCGAGTCTTCTCCCTGTCGAATCTCACCAAGTTTTAGAGTCAATTCGTAGATCTGAGACTAACTTCCCAAATCAGTGTACATCTGATTCACGTTGTCCCAGAGCTCCTTAGCCGTGGAGTAACACATATAGTTGGAGCTAATATCCTCGTCCATGGAGTTCACAAGCCAAGTCATCACCATTGAATTTTTTGCATCCCAGGTCACGTACGTTGGGTCCTCCGATGCTGGTGCCTTCTTGTCTCCTGTCATGTACCCGATCTTTCCCCGCCCTCTGATGTACATCCGAACGGACTGGGACCACCATAAATAATTGTCACCATTAAGGCGAATATTGGTGATTTGAACCGAGTGAGAATCGGTACTGGGGGCTTGGGTTGTCGGATTTGTTGACTGGGTTGTGATAGGCGAGGATGACATGGAGGAACCGTCAAGATGGCTAATTAGTGAAGAAATTGTGCAGAAAAGAAAATTAGGGTTTTTTTTTTTTTTTTTTTAGGGTGGCTCTGATACCATATAAACTATAAAGGAAAGAAAAATAGAAAAACCTTTTTCTCTGTATTAACACACAATTCACGAGTTTACACATGTTCTTTTTATAGGAGAGAATACACGTACATACCTATCTGGCTTAATTAATAATTTCCTATTTTACCGCATTTGACCAATATTCTATTTACAGAAAATATTCTCCAACTATTATATTTACAGCCAATAATATTTGGTAGATTTACTACCAAATCTTTCCTTTTCAACACTAAGAATGACATACTTATCAAAAATATATATATAAAAATATATATATATATCTCCAACACGAATTCTTTGCCGGAGGTGTGTTTGTGCTAACTAGGACAGAGTAATAGCCATAGCCCATCAATTCCTTTCTCTTCTCACAAGATTTACCTTTTTTTCTTTACCATTAGGATTATTGTGCAGCTTAAATTAAGATGACCCAAATAAGCATCTACTTAAAACAACATTAATCTTCAAGCACTGTATAAAATGGAAGATATGAGGATCCTGATTTCTTATATGAAACCTAACAAATAGCCCAAGAGTATATCCTTGAAATTCATTTATTATTCTCAGTTGAAGCATTGTGAACAACTAAAATATTCATCAAGTATGAATAATCATCAAAAGAGCAATAAGAAAAGAACTAAATCTGAATACCACCAAATGATTTGAAATCTTTTTGGTTACATCTCCTTCAATCGAAATAAGCTCTCCTGGAAACGTTTGTCCAATAAATCTCCGGGAAAGTTTGACAGTTCGCAGTCTCTCCATTTTATTTTCCACATCATAACAAGACAATGTTGACATGCCATCATAAAATTAAATGATCTGCCCCTCCAACTAGGCAGACACATGAAGTTCTCCTTTTTCCATAGTTTCTTGTCATTGTCTTCTAATTTCCAAATCGTGGTTTTTCTTACTATCAATTGGGGAGACGTATGATGTTGAACTTCTCATGTTCTACTTCAAAACCTAGTATCACATTTTGGACGAAGGACCAAATATGAAATAGAATACATATGACACCCTTAATGTAACGAGGATCAGACCTTCCGTTAGCTAAAATCCCCAGCCTATCTAATTCCAAAAGGAGTTTAGGTTGCAACTTTCCTTGGCCGGTCTCATTTTTTGATGCCATTTATCAATCAATCAGAAAGACTAGCATTAAAGCAATCATCTAACCCTCATGCAAGGGGCTAGTCCATTAGTTTGATAAGATTATTCTAACTACTAATCTTTCTTAAAAGAAGCTTACCTTGTTATCCAACACACTAGAACCATGTATAGATGGAGTATATAAAACACATAAATAATGCCTCAACTCTGATTCAATGAAATGCGCAAAGGGTAAGCTTTTTAATTTGCCACATCTGGCAGACTAATTTATTAAGCAAAACACACAACCGCCTTGCAGGCGTTCCAAATTGCATAGAGTGAAATCTTTAATTTGGGTGTAGATTAATAAGACATCTAAAAGAGAGTACAAACCTTTAAGAGATATGCAGTAAAAGAGAGACGCTTACAACATACCTTAAATCTAATTTTGCCACCATATATGAAAACATGATATATTGGATCCACATTGCAACCTTGAAAATTGTTATATTCTGTTGATGTATCACAACATGATATGTGTAGCCAATTTTTCAAATGCATCAAAGATGCAATGGCACAACAATAACATTTTCACCTTCTCTTAGACACATGACAAAGTAATAGCCCAAGAGCTCATAGCCCATCAATTCCCTTCTCTTCTCACAACATTTACCATCTTTTCTTTGATATTGGGATTATTGTACCCCTTAAACTAAGATAACCCAAGTAAAAAACTACTTAAAACAACATTAATCTTTTGGCAAGAAATAAAAATGTAAAATACGATAACCATGATTAAAAGAGTAGTAGGAAAAGAACTAAGTCTGAATACCAAAAAATGTTTGCAAGAATTAAAAAAATAAATAAATAAATGTTTAGCAATCTTTTTGGTTACATCTCCTTCAGTCGAACTAGGCTCTCCACATTGTTGGTGATGCGGAAACCTTTGCCCATTAAATCTCCGGGGAAGTTTGACAGTTCACAGTCTCTCGATTTTCTACTTTCCACATCATAATAAGACAGTGTTGACTTACCATCATAAAATAGTATCTCACTGGTATGGACAGTACTAACTACAAAATTAACTGATCTGCTCCTCCAACTAGGTGGACACTCGAAGTTCTCCTTTTTCCACAGTTTCTTGTCACAGTCTTCTAATATCCAAATCGTGGTGTACTGAGGATCAATTAAGGCTATATTTTCTCTAACGTGTACTGGTGTATAATACTTTTCAGTCGCATCAGTGGGGAGATGTATGATCCGAAACTTCTCATGTTCTACTTCAAAACCTAGTATCACATTCTGGATGGATGACTTAATACGAAATAGAATATATATAACACCCTTAATGTAACAAGGATCAGAGTTTGTCTTACCTTGTATCTTAAAATCAATATCTCTCCAATATTGTGTACCGAGGGTCAAAATCTTGAACTGGACTCCCTTGTGTTGACGAAATCTTCTTCCCTTGTGACTTTGACATATATTTAAGACTTTGAATTTGTTAGTGGAAGGATCAAACCCTAAATAGTTACACGAATAAGTGCTCCATAAATTTATTCCTGACGATCCAGCAGGAAAATATAGGAGTGGAAGAACATGGATTTCTCTTGTGCTAGGATTTATTATTCGGTCGCCCAAACAGACGAAGCCATTAACAGACTGTAAAGGGTTAAGACAATCTCTAAAAGGCACTGTGAGAAAGCGAGTGGCTTCTCCTCCCTCTGGATCTGCAGAGCAGAGATAACTTAAATTCCGTGAATCCAGAACCTGGAGGAGGATGTTCAAACCACCCAGCCGAGTATGGGAACGTGTTTGGTGAGACTCAATGAAAAGTGGGCTGTCAATCTCGGAACACCAAAGCTTTGAAACGCACCTGAATCTCAGTAAGCTTTTCACAGGAAGCTCTTGGAGTACCTTCAAGATAATATCTGGCGGAACTGAGATCTCGGTAAGCCTCTTCGCTTTCATCATGTTATCACTAGTTGTTTAGGGTTTTTCTGGTGTGAGTGCGGGAAACCTATATCTTAACCCTAAAATAATGGGCAAAAGAGGCTTATTTAGAGTCCAACAAAGCTCTTGTCAACTTTTAAAAGGGTAGAGATACTTGGGCCATAGATTGACTTTCGCTTTACTTGGAATCAATTATTTTAGGATTTGGAAAAGGAATCTGAATTGGAATAAGAATTGGAATTAAAATGAAATTCTATTTATATGTTTGGAACAAATTGAATTTAAAATGAGATTTTAAATAAAAATAATATAATATCATTTTTGCCCTTATTTAAATAACAAATGAAATATTTATTTTATGCAAAATATACTCTAAAGTTACAGCAAAGAAGAAGACAAACAATGAGAATGATCACGCTATAGAACTCCGAAACATGAAATTTATTTATAAAAAAAAAAACAATTATTAAAGATAATATTGGCAATATTAGCTTATATAATATGATTTGATGTATAAATAAATGACTTATCTATAAATTCTGAAGAATTTGATAATATGATTTTTATTTATAAATTTCTGCTTTATTCATTTAAAATTTTAAGTACACAAATACTAAAGTATTGGATTTCATGACTTTTGGTTATAAGTAAAAAAAATTTCAAGGTGGTGGATGAATTGTTAAACGCAGACTTTTGGTTATACAATTTTATATTGTGGTAGATCAACTTTTGGTTATACAATTCTATATTGTGGTAGATCAATCTGTTGGGGTATACCAAACAAAAAAAATGGCATGAATTATGAAGGATTGCAACAATTTTGTATTATAGATTTTTCAAACACAAGAATACAAAAGTGGTGGTAGATCAATTTATTAAACTCAGTTTAAGATTATGGAGAATTGGAGTATGAGTTTTGATTATAAAATTCGTATTGTAGATTTTTCAAGTACAAGAATACAAAAGTGGTGGTGAATCAATCGATAATTTTGAGAAATCGATTTCTTACTTAAAGTTCCATAACTTTTAAGGAATTATTTCATATATCTATAACATTCTCATTATGAATTATGATTATTTTCTTTCTATCTTTTTTTTTTTAATGAATTCTTTTAAATTGTTTCTGTTTCTAATTATCTTTTAGCTGTATACACCGAGTGTGTGTGTATATATAAAACACACAAAAAAGAAAGTTGATGTTTGTATATATAGATACTTAATCTAAGAAAGTTGATGTTTGTATATATAGATACTTAATCTATATATATATATATACACACACAACAAGGAAAGCTGTTTGTTCGTATATATAGGTACTCAATCATTTTCCTTATATATACATATAAAAAGGAAAACTGCTGTTTGTATATATAGATACTTAATCTATATATACACAAAAAAAGAAAAGAAAAAGGAAAGCTTGCTATTTGTATATATAGAATTATAATACTCAATCTATATATACACGTAGGTGTATAGTGTGAGGGGAGAAAGAAAAAAAAATAAAAAATGAAAATAAGAGAATTAAAAGGACACTTTTGTCCTATAAATTTAATTTTAAATGTCTCATAATGACAGGAGACATTTAATTAATTAGGGTATAATTTTAGAAATCCTGACCAATTAAGAGTACGACTGCAATTAACACTCCTCTTACAAATAATATGTATAAGAATTCTGCCTAACAACTTAGCCTTAAAATCATTTTACCTTTTCTTTTAAAAATAACAAATCAAGTGGGTTGCATAGTAATGTTTCAATATGATCCAGCCTTAGGCTAGTGTTTTTTAGCTCAAGGTATTGATTTGAGTAGCATTGTTCTAAATTAGATATATTTGTTGGTTTTTTTTTTTTTTTTTTTTTTTTTTTTTTTTTTTTTTTTTTTTTTTTTTTTTTTCAATATATACTTATAGTTACGGGGTGTATAAGAACCTACTTTGTGGTCCAAGGGTTTAATCCAAAGTAAGTCCAACCAAACCTTTAATCCAAAATTCTCAATTTGTGTTAAATAATGTTGAACTTGGGTTAGAAAAAGAGAGTTGAAAATTCGGAACTAGGAGGAGGATGTTAATACCACGTAGTAGTGGTAGAGTCAGGATTTTAATTCAAGGGGCGCGTATTGTAAAAAAAAAAAATTATATGACATATAGGTTTTTGAAATCAAAGGGTAAAGAAGAAAAAAAAAATTCATTGCAGAATTACTATGATTTTTTTATAATTTTTATCATTGAATAGAGTTGTAAATCTTATTATTTTGAAAACCATGTATGAATACCTCTACTGACTTAATAAAATTACAATATTAAATTTAAATAAGAGAAGGAAAAAAAAAAATAAAGAAAAAGGAAAGAAAAATGAGCAATCTTTTAAAGGAAAAAAATTGAAATTTTCTTTTATAGTCTAAATGAAGAAAGGAAATTTAACGTTTCTTTTTAAGGAAATTAAAGGATTTTAAAAAGTAAAGGAGAAAATTTAAAAAATTAAAAAGTTTAGGGTGGCATTATATAGAATTTTTTTTTAGATATATAAACAGTCAAAAAAATTATCTTTGTTGTGGATGTGGGATCCATACCTTACATCATTGCTTACATCATCTCTTGGAGTAGTGAGCAAGTTTATTGCATTGGCTTATTCTGGAAGCTAACCCACGAATTGAATGCCTATAAATGGGCATCATGTGTATGAATTGAAGGTGCAAACTTCCTCAAATCACTCTGAAATACTCGCAATTCATGAAGCAGGTAGAGAGTGTGTTTGGTTGAGATCTGTTATACAACAATATTATATGAAGAATGTATTGCACAAGTAAGAGGAGGATACATAAAAAGTGATAGAACCAAGCACATTTCACCAAAATTCTTTTCCACACACAAGCTCCAGAAGGGCAGTGATATCGATGTTCGGCAAATACGCTTTAGTGATAATCTAGCAGATTTATTCACTAAAGTGCTTACAACTACAACATTCAAGAAGTTAGTGGATAACATTAGAATGCGTCAACTAAAGGATCTTCAGGATTGAACTAATGAGGGGGAGCAATTGATCAAAGAGGTATTAGCATACAGTACTATTTTTCCTTCGTCCAGGTTTTATCCCATTGGATTTTCCTGGTAAGGTTTTTAATGAGGCAGTTTTAACCTATGCAATACCATTTTCAATGACACAAAGATATTGTACTCTTTTTCCTTCGCTGGGTTTTTATCCAACTGGGTTTTTCCTAGCAAGGTTTTAACGAGGCATATTTTTAGTGTAGTATAGCAAGGTTTTAACGAGGCATATTCTTAGTGTAATATAATGGATCCCAAAGAGGAGTTATGGATGTGGGATCCACACCTTGCGTCATTGCTTACATCATCTCTTGAAGCAGTGAGCAAGTTTATTGCATTCTTTCGTTCTGTCTCTGTCTCTCTCTCTGCGCAAGTTAATTTACATTTCTATATTACAGATTACTCAATATATATACATATATATTCATCACAATCTTATATTTATAGATGGCGGGGCCAAATTAGGGGCACGTGCCCCTCCTAGGCCTTAATTGGTTTCGCCCCTGCCACCCAGCCGAGTATGGGAACGTGTTTGGTGAGAGTCAATGAAAAATGGACTCTGAATCATGGAACGCCAAAGCTTCGAAACACACCTAACGGTAAGCTTTTAACATGATAATCTCTGGCTGAACCGAGAACTCCGTAAGCCTCTTCACTTTCATTCTGCTATCATTAGCAATTAGGGTTTTTATTCTGCTATCATTAGCAATTAGGGTTTTTCTGGTGTGAGTGCGTGCGTGAAAGTACAAGGTAGAAAGATAATATATAAGGGGATGTTTTAAACTAAAACATTATTAAATGTTTATTTATTGATATGTTTCAAATGGAACCCAGCCTGTGTTTTAGGTCAAATCATTGATTAGTGTAGCATTGTTCTAAAATGTATAAACTTGTAATTAGGGGTGAATAAGAACCAACTTTGTAGTCCAAGGGTTAATCCAAATTAAGTCCAACCAAATCTTTAGTCCAAAATTCTCAATTGAATTGAATATTAGGATCTCAAAAATTAAGATTTAAAGACACAATTGGGAAAAAATTTAATCATTTTTATAGATATATGTTATAACTAAATTATACGGAGTACATATTAAAATTTTTGGATTATAATCCATTTAGTTTGGGTCGGGATTTCCGACAATTTAACACGAAACTAAATTATGCTAGTGAAATATTTTAGTCCTAATCCAACCCTAAATTTAAAAATAAGTGCGTGAATAATTCGAATTGGTTTAATGACCCAGTCACCCAACATCTTCTCTTGTAAATACTTTTCAAAGTTCATTCGTCATATAAAAGAAGAGTCCTTGGTATAGAGTGGACAGAATAGCATTGTACATTTGATCCGTCAATTCGTAAAACCGATGCCATCATTGACTTGGGTTTTTAGTCTTATATAATTTTGTTATGGATTGATAAATAAGGAATCAATAATCTACATTAACCGATTCAATCTGTTAATCTATCCGATTCAATCTGTTAATCTATATATATAAATTATATATATATATATACACTATTTTTTTTATTATTCTTTTATTATTTTAAGTTTTACTAACTTTTAACCCTAAACACCTACTAACTTTTTAAGTCTTATTAACAATTAAAAATTCATTTATTAGGTTATATATGGTTAAAAATAATAATATTGGACTATTTGAAAAAAAAAAAAAAAAACAATCCATGAATTCAATTGGATTCGTAAAATGTTTTAATTCGATCCTGTAAAGCAACGGATCAAATTGGATTCAAGTTTTACTTGATCGAATTAAATTTAATGCCTAATCCGATCCGATCCATGATCACTTCTAAAATTTATGGGAATGGATGGGGAACATTTGATGGAAAATAATAACTTTAAAATTTTCTCATTTATATATATTTTTTTCACGATATCCCAATCCATTTTTGTGTAGTTGCACTCCAATATCAAAGTAACAGATATTTTTAATCCTAATTTTATAAGTAAATGACTAT